ATATATAGTACTTACAGATACACAATTAACAATGGTGCCGGTGATAGACTGACAATGAGATAAAAAGTCCTCCACGATCGCACGAAGTATGCAATGCCGGCAAGAAACAGAAACCCTATGCTCCAGTACACATACGCAATTGCTGATATCATCGCACGTTTGGACGGGGCTACAAACTCAGTCACTAAAAATTCAGATATAAAGAAATATCTAAAGTACTTCGGTATAATAAGTGTTTTTAGGTGCAGTGTATCCTGTCATTTATTACACTACGTCAACATTTAAACAGCGCATTTAAATAGCGCATTAACTGGAAGTCCTTATATTTTTAGAGAACAACACTGAAATCCATAGGTTCTATGTAGTAAAGAAATGAATAAAAATAATCATAGATGAAGAAATGTAATGAAATTTGCACATTATTCGGAATTCAAACCCGCAAATGTTATTGAAGTATAAAACAGTTCCATTCGACCATATTAACCTATTTGACCTAATATTCAATAAGAAATTAGGCACAAGAATGGTAACAGTGCATTTCTATGAAAGTATTTTGGCGTTATGGAAGTTGAAAATGTTAAGAAATGATATGTGGTTCATATCACGCATACATTTCATTAACTAGAATCACATCAAATCAAATATACTATTTTCCCTACAATTGAAATAATACAAGATTCAGTATAAAATACAGTTATTGAAACAAAGTAATTGTATGGAAGGAGACTACAATAAGTTCTGCAAGAAAACCGCCAGAGCCTAAAGACGTAGCCACCTTTTACAAAAAAGTTGACTTTGATCATTACTTTACCATAAACGAATACAGAGATATACAGGCCTATGTTCATAGTTCCATTCAGCAGACGGAACACAAAGTAAGTCCAGTATGAGGGCGCTATGGCACAAAGTGTTCCCATGAGAATCTTTAGTGCGAGTGCAATTAGGATTCCTCGTTTCCGACCAAAGCTGCACATGCAAAAAGAATCAACATTATTATTAGGCAAGGTTACAACCCGCAGGTCTAATATAGTGTAGGTAGGATAAGATAAAATTTAAAGCGTCACACACTTAAAGCCAGGCCATATTTTGATATGCTGTAACTTAAGCTACAAATGATTTTTCTAAGACACAAAAAGCATATTTGACGAAAACTTATTAACAGTTAGTGAGATACAGATTTTTGAATACTTAAAAACTGAAGGAAAAGGGGCATATCCACCCTTTTCCACCTATCCCCCCAGTTTTTTTAAATATTGAAAAACCTGTATCTCATTAACCGTTCACAGGTTTTTAGTCAAATATGCTTTTTGTGTCTTAGAAATATCAGTTGTATAACATATCAATGTGTTTTCCTCCGGAGCCTGGCTTTAAGCGGAACGGTCATTACATTAGCTACACGAATTGCGTATTCTTTGTAAAACAATTCGCTAAATAATGACTTCGATTAATATTAATATCTTATAATATTTATTTATTTAATTATGTATAGGGCCTACATTTATTTTAAACTTTATTGAGTTTTTCATACAATTATTTGATAATTTGTCTTTTTTAATGCTCTTTGATTGTATGTTTTACAGCATTTTACAATATTTTCAAATTAACTCACTAGTCGCATATTCCTCCGAACACGATTGATCCAAAAAAGTACCCAAAAAGAAACGACGAAGCTGCCAACGAGACCTTGTAACTATCTTCACAGACCAAGTCGAACTGTATGACGAAAACAAAAACGACAATGAATGCGGAATAAATAAATAATGTGATAAGTACATTATATTCTCCTTCATGATAATGAGCCAACTTCGAATTTTAACGTCCGAGTGTAGTAGACGAGTACGCCTACCGTATTTCAGCACGATATCACAACAGGAAGCTGATCACGATATGATATGCTATTTACTGTCAAAATAAACTTTCGTTACATTTGAGATGTGTATTGCATTGCATACTCGGGTGAAAAGAACATAGGCCTACATCAAAGAAAGCACACCTAAATACAACAAATTCCTACAATATATACAGCAAGTACAATAAATATGATGAAAGACTAGGCCTATCTGGTGTAATTGAGATTAGAAAGGTTGACTGCAGTAAACATGAATGAAGTTTTAAATCTATTTGTGTTGGGGCTATTCTGAATAAGTCTGACTCTACCTGATTTATTGCTTATTTATTACAATATCGTTATGAAGAGGGTGGGTGGAATCTTGCATTATGTGCTTTAACTTCTCTAATGAATAGGACTTACAAGTTGCTCAAGTTCACAAACACTAAAACCAAAAATTCTTGAAGGTCACGGATCACGCCCATGCGCAATTCAGCACAACGACACTGCAAGTTATGGGATATTCTCTTATGTATTTTATGCACTGTATGTACATTCACGTATTCCCAACTTTAGAAAACAGATTTCATGTAATGTACTTGTATGTAGGCCTATGACATTATATAAAATCTTGAATCTTGAATCGTAGGTTTGTCGTAGAAGACACAAACATGAGTAATTTGTTACAAAAGTAAAAAAAAATTACTACTATTGTACACTTAAGCCTACTTTATAAAGAAAGTTTTGGCCAAGCCAGAAAGTCGATTTTATTATTATTATTCTCAGGGGGTAGCGCCTCTGCTATCTGCTTCTAACATTCACTAGTACAGTATCTATATCGGCTGTAATTGCTTGAATATGCCAGCTCAAATTGGCTCACGTCCAACATCAATAAGAAAAATGCTTAAATTCATCCAGAAACGAAAAAAACCCAAAAAAACATACCATAATCTGCATTTTGAATTAATTTTCATCATACATTTACTATATAGTTTGCTATTGTTGTTCAAATGTCTAGCGACGTTTAAGATAGAAATAAGGTACTACTACTACGCGAGGCGCTATATACGGTAATTCCAGAATTATTATTATTATTATTATTATTACTTTCACACCGAGCCCTGCATGGTCTATTCGCTCATTTGGAGACCACGAAGTGTCGGAGAACAGAGCAGTGATATTTATTCATTCTTCTTTAAACCATATCTATAGAGGGTGACCATTCCAGCGTATGCTAGAAAGTCGGTTGATATTCAGGGACCCATCTTAAATAAATGAAATAACGTGATGTTTTTATCAGCGAAGTTTCTTTATGAGGTTGTTTTTTGGTCGGGAGATAAAAAGTCCTGCTGTCACAGAAATTTAACCCAGGAGCCTGGGATTAGAAGGCAGGCATTTGACCACAAGGTATTCAACTCCACTCTATTTTTATTTGGTTTACATTTGTGTAGCTTTGGTTTTAAGACCAGTGGCGGATCCAGGATTTCGAAATAGAGGGGGCCAGAGAGGGACTTTCACAGATGGAGCGAGATCTATTCTACCTCAGCCCCACCATGGTTGGGCTGAGGTGAGACAAATTATGGTTATGGTACCTCTAAATGCCCGAAATGGCAATCTTGGACTTGGACTCAAAATTTTCTTGTTTTTTTTTTTAATTTTAAAAATTTAGTGGTATGGGCGCGCGGGCCGGCTGGGCCTCCTTGAATACGCCACTATAAAGACATTTTATGTTTTATGAGTTTATTTTTATCATACATTCTCGTATTATACAGGCAGATAGGCCTATAGGGTTTCTAATAGGAACATGTGAGTGCTAAGCAGGATTTGTAAAAGGGCTAATAGACTTTAATAGGTTTTAAGCAAGAGCGGTACATAAGGGTGCTAAAAGGCTTAAAGCAAAAACGATACACGAGGGTGCTATGGACAGTGACGATTCCGAAAATGTTGCAGACAGGAGTCCAAGTTCGAACGGGGCTCCCAAAACTTCTGTCAGGGTCCCGGAATAAAATGGTAGGGTTCATGGGGAGATATTTTAAGGTAAGGTAAGATGGCCCAAAGTGCTTTTAGAGTTTAGGTGTTTGCTTCAAGGACTGTGTAATCATACATAGCTAGGCCTATTATTATTATCCACTCCTTGTGTCGGACACCGAATACACGTTAATATTGTTAATGTCACCAAAATGCGGGACTCAAATAAATTTCGTTCGTATCAAGTTATTTTATTATATTTATATTATTTGTTTTATTGTTTGTTCTTATTCTTGTATTGTTTTTTTTTTTGGTCAAATAAATAAATGAAATGAAATGAATAATGTTCATTCGACCAATTAGTGTTAATAACCACAGGGTATTTTAAATTGGGATTTTGTTCGAACGTCCGGGGACACTACAATGTATAATTTGGCGAACCTATTTTGGGGCGGCGTCCCATAGTTTGAATACCAGGATTTTAGACCAAACTTTGATTATTTGGTAAATGACGATGCTAAGTCTTAAAGCAGAGAGGCTTCCCGGACATACCTAACGACGTAGCGATATGAAGACGGGTCCCATTTCAATAATTGCCGGGCCCGATAATCTGAAGCCAGGAGGGACGGACAAAGTTTTTTTCTGACCATTCCACAAATATGAGTCCGGAGTACATTTAGTCGGGGTACTCATCACACATAGGGCCTTGGTATGGGGTCTAAACTTAGCCGCTCTCGGAATGCCCATACATTCTGAGTTCTTTAATAATAATAATAATAATAATAATAATAATAATAATAATAATAATAATATGCAGAAATTTATAACGCGCCAATTCAAAAAACATTATCAAAGGCAGATAAAAAAACAGATATTATATTATTCACGGCATTAACGGACAGAAATTCATTTCCACCTTCTACATACTCATTATTAGTAACATGTTGTCAACATTTATTGAGTGTTATTGTTTGATCATGGACCTATTAATAAGATAGGTCCCATGGTTTGATTGTAAATTTAAAGGCACACAAGGATCTAAAACATACGGTTATTATTATACGGATATTACATTATTAACGGCATTAACGGACAGAAATTCATTTCCACATTCTACATCCTCATTAAGTAATATGTTGTCAACATTTACTGAAGCTTGGTTCACGTCGAACTTTTATCTAGATATACATCCACTTAACTAGTTAAAAGTTCGACGTGAACCACTCAATTATAGCTAGTTAAAGGAATTAAGTCACTTAAGTTAAGTGACTTAACTTTACTAGAATAACGGTAAATTAACTTTCTTAACGGTAAAGTCGGCTTGGATTACAAGGACACGATTACGTAACGTAGGCATCTAAGCCAACTTTGTTGTATTGTACCACCATTATCATCTTCTGTACAGTAATACTGTTAATAATAATATTTAAGACTCAAACAATGCATAAAAACTAAAGGTAGGCCTATTAATCACCCCTCATAAAATGAGCGAGTCTAAACGATAACAAAGGCTTCTGAATGTCACTTCCCTGCAGTGAATATGAGCCGATTAAATTTGATTGTTTCGTTGCAAAAATCCTGCCTAAGAATTCATATGTAAATCTCCTATAAAGTACAAAATTGACAGCAATATAGAATCACTCACCTAAACGTAGGCTATTATTAAAGTGTTATTACTTAAAAACGTGAACAATAGCTGGACTTTCAATTCAATGAGATTTTTTTTTTCTGAATGAAAGAAAATAATGAATTAAGAGACGCTTACTATATAATTTCAAAACAAAATTTAATGACAAGAAAGATCGACGTTTCGGGTCCATCATGGAACCATTCTCAAGATCAAGTAAATTGAAAAAACTAAAAACGAAAATACCAAGCAGTGACAGGAAGTAAGTAATTAATTTACATATCAATAGGGCCTACTGTGTGGAGCCATAGTGGAGCTAAGCAATAAGGGCTAATTATTGCTTAGCTCCAATTGATATGTAAATTAATTACTTACTTCCTGTCACTGCTTGGTATTTACTTGAGTCAAGCATGGAGGTATAAAATCAAGAGTCAAGTTAGCCAACAATAAGCCAGCCAACAAGCCAGCCCACAATTCTAGCCAACAATCCAGATAAGATACGATCGCGTTGGACTGCAGTTTCACTATTTACTTCACCGTGGGTGCGGCGGCGAAGCACAGTTTTATTGACCAATGCTGAGGGAATAGAAGGTGTGGGGGTGGGTGGATGGGTAACATTAATACGGTATGAAAATTAAAGGATGGCGAGATAAGGGGAAGGGGTCGGGACAATCGGAGGGGAGTTGGGAACAATATTGTTCGAAAACGACAGATAGTTCCTAAAAATCACTTAGGCCTATGATGTTATCCCCTCAACTCATATCAACGTTAGGCCTAGATAGGGACCGGAGCTCACGTTTTCCCCACCTTTTTTAGTTTTCACTCATTTTAACAGGCCTACTGGTCTGCGCAAGGGGTGTAAATGTAGATAATTATTGCTAACCTTTTTATAATTTTCACCACATCGAAGTTAGAGTGGGACCGGAGGCCCGTTTACTATAGCCTCCACCACATTAATTTTCCTCATTTTCGTAGTGGTATGCGGGAGGGGTGTAAATGTAGGTAACGATTGCTCGAAAACGGCAGATTGTTCCTGGAAATCCCTTGGTGGGGTTATGATGTGATACCCCCTCATTCACCGCATCGAAGTTAGAGTGGGACCGGAGGTCCCGTTTTATATCCCCACCACTTTAATTTTCTTCCTTTTCGTATTGGTATGCGGGAGGAGTGTAAATATAGGTAACGATTGCTCGAAAACGGCAGATTGTTCCTGGAAATCCCTTGGTAGGATTATGGAGTGATACCCCCTCATTTACCCCATCGAGGTTAGAGTGGGACCCGAGGTCCCGTTTAATAGATCCACCTTTTTATAATTTTCACTCATTTTCATATATACTGTACTGTGCGGGATCGGTGTATTTTGGTAACAATTGCTCGAAAACGGCAGATTGTTCCTAGAAATCCCTTGGTGGAATTATGGTGTAATACCCCCTCATTCAACCCATCAAGGTTACCGTTTATTGGCCCCCACCATTTTAATTTTCACTCATTTTTGTACTGGTTGCGGGAGGGGTGTAAATGTAGGTAACAATTTCTCGAAAATGATAGATTGTTCCTGGAAATCCCTTGGTGGGGTTATGATGTGATACCCTCTCATTCACTGCATGGAAGTTAGAATGGGACCGGAGGTCCCGTTTAATAGCCTCAACTTTTTCTAATTTTGACTCATTTTCGTACTGGTATGGGGAGGGGTGTAAATGTAGGTAACGATTGCTTGAAAACGGCAAAAACTTTGTTGGGGTGATTGAGGGGGTATCACACCATAATCCTACCAAGGGATTTTTAGGAACAATTTGCCGGTTTGAAAAATGGTTACCTACATTTATACCCAAATCATAATGAAAACGAGCGAAAATTATAAAAAGGTGGGGCTATTAACCGGACCTCCTGTCCCTATCTAACTTTGTTAGGGGTTATTTAGGGGTTATCGCACCATAATCTTACCAAGGGATTTTTAGGAACAATTTGCCGTTTTTGAGAAATCGTTGCCTACATTTACACCCTCAACAGTATGAAAATGAGTGAAAATTATAAAAAGGCGGGGTTATTAAACCGGACCGTCAGTCCCACTCTAACTGAGTTGGGGTGAATGAATGGGTACCACACCATACTCCCACCAAGGGATTTTCAGGAACAATCTGCCGTTTTCGTGTAATTGTACTCTAAATTTATACTCCTCCAGCCTAAAAATTCCTTCCACCTGAAATTTAGTGGAAATTTTTGAAAGTGGGGCTAATAAACGGTATCCCCGGTCCCACTTTATGGGCACACACCATAATCCTACCAAGAGATTTTCAGGAACAATCTGCCGTTTTCGAGAAATCGTTACCTACATTTACACCCTAACAGTATGAAAATGAGTGAAAACTATAAAATGATGGGGCTATTAAACCGAATCTCCGGTCCCACTCCTAACGCTTTTGGGGTGATTGAAGGGGTATCACACCATAACCTTACCAAAGGATTTCCAGGAACAATCTGCCGTTTTCGAGTAATTCAAGTTCTCTAAATTTACACCCCTTCCGCCTAAAAATTCCTCCCACCTGAAATTTAGTGGAATTTTTTGTTTAAATGGGGCTATTAAACGGGACCCCGGTCTCACTTTAACTTCGATGGGATGAATCAGGGAGTATCACACCATAATCCTACCAAGGGATTTTCCAGAACAATCTCCCGTTCTCAATAAATCTTTACCTATATTTACACTCCAACATTTTATAAATTAGTGAAAATTATAAAATGGTGGGCTATTAAACCGGACCTCCTGTCCCACTCTAACTTTGTTAGGGTGATTGAGTGGGAATCACACCATACTCTTACCAAGGGATGTTCAGGAACAATCTGCCGTTTTTGAGAAATCGTTACTCTTACATTACACCCCTTAACAGTATAAAAATGAGTGAAAATTATAAAAAGGTTTGGCCATTAAACCGGACCTCCGGTCCCACTCTAACTTCGATAGGGGGGGGGGGTTGAGGGTGTATCGCACCATAACCCCATCAAGGGATTTCCAGGAACAATTTGCCGTTTTCGAGTAATTGTTCTCCAAATTTACACCCCTCCCGCCTTAAAATTCCTCCCACCTGAAATTTAGTGGAAATTCTTTAAAATGGGGCTATTAAACGTGACCCCCAGTCCCACTTTAACTTCGATGGGGTGAATGAAGAATTATCACACCATAATCATACCAGTACGAAAATGAGGAAAATTAAAGTGGTGGGGGCTATTAAACGGGACCTCCGGTCCCACTATAACTTCGATGCGGTGAATGAGGGGTATCACATCATAACCCCACCAAGGGATTTCCAGGAACAATCTGCCGTTTCCGAGCAATGGTTACCTACACTTACACCCCTCCCGCATACCAGTACGAAAATGAGGAAAATTAAAGTGGTGGGGGCTATTAAACGGGACCTCCGGTCCCACTCTAACTTCGATGCGGTGAATGAGGGGGCATCACATCATAACCCCACCAAGGGATTTCCACGAACAATCTGCCGTTTTAGAGCAATCGTTACCTACATTTACACCCCTCCCGCATACCAGTACGAAAATGAGGAAAATTAAAGTGGTGGGGTATTATTATTATTATTTAGCATTAATTATATTACAATGATAGTTTGGACAAGTTCAATAACGCCGGAATGGTATCTGTCTCTTATACACATCTAGATGTGTATAAGAGACAGATACACACCCCTGGATACGTGAGTTTAGTTTAAAGGGAAAAAAGTTTACTCGCCTACCTCTGACACAATAGTAGACCTATACATAGATCTGTCGTAGGTCCATCCATGTTCGCAACTTGCTAGCTCTGTTTCATTATTATTAACACCATCCACATCTCCTGTGTACATCCTACACATGGTTTCATTGATGAATGGGGTATTTTTGTCGTCTGGGGGTAAGATGTTGTTCGCTATACCGAATTCGTAGTCGGACGCGCTGCAATTTGTATTCGTTGTGTTGTCAGTATCCTTACAAAAGTGGTCCATCGTTCCATTTAAAAACACCGTAGAAATATTCGTGAAAGTGTTCGTGATAATTACGAGGCAAACAATATGTGTAATTTGCCTGTGATAACGACCATACTTTCCAGTATACTTGAAGACGCCGTCGAACTTCATGCTTACACGTAACCAATTCAAGTACTGACAATGTACTAGCGTTTGAAGTATCCTCCACACAAACACAGTAGGGTGGCAGGTCAAAGTATGAAACGCCCTGATTGCCTGTGCGGGTCATTACGTCCGGCACAATTACCATTCGAACCAATGACATTCGACCCAATAATCATTCGACCCAATTCCATGCGGCCCAATCATGTTAAATGGGTCAAACGAAACTACGTCTGCAAAGGCAGTCAGGGCGCTTCATAATAAGGGATTGTTTGGACGAGTAAGTTGCGTTCATATTGTACAGAAAAACTTTATGATTGGAGCAGAGGTTCCATTTAACAGTCAATATGAGGCATGCCATTCTAAAATAGAACATTTCTTCGCCGAATGCCAGTTTGCCGACGGACGTTTTGCCGACAGATAGTTGACCGAAAGAAAATTCACCGACAGCCGATTCGCCGACAACCAATTCGCCCACAGACATTTCGCCGACAATTTATTTTTGTGATGTTGTGATTGATGTTTCTTCGACAGATGTTTTGTTTTGTTGAGGACGGGTAGTCATCATGGAAAGTCGTCACTTATAGTTATCCATACATGCAGACACACTTTCAATAGGCCTATATTAATCATGGAATGCAAGATTCTGCCAAAAATATTAAATACAGGCCTATAATAAACACTTGTTTATCTATATTTTCATTAAATATTAAGCGACGGTAATAACTAAAGCAATATAAAAGGGCATTTAAAAAAAATTAGTACAAACTTATATAAAAAGAAATAAAGGATACAAGATACCAGGTGTAACTTTAATGCAAATTTAAGAAAAAATTTAAATGTACACATTATACTTTAAAGTAATAATATTCAAATGTTTGAAATGCACCAGAATACGACGTATTACAAAAATATACTGTAAAGTTTAAATATACAAATGGAGGACACATTACAATATTAATTGATCGGTATCTTTTGTTTATTCACGTATAACATTCAAAATATATCAGCACAGGATGAATTACAGTTTAATTACAGTATGGTACAAACTAGGCAAATCAATAAATTAATGGGTAGGCCTATATGCAATTCAATAAATGTGGAATAAATTAAGTTAGCAATATACAAATTTAATTTAAAAAAAGTCAAATTGATTATCTGTTTATATATACATTAGATACAGAAAATTACAAATTAAAAAATAAGGAAATTTACTTAAAAATAGATGATCATACAATTAAAAAAATACTTATTCATTAAAAAAATAATTATGTAACAAAATTGCACAATATTGTAATACAATAACTATTCAATAAGTCAAAATAAAATATAGACGGTGCACGAAAACATGTACATACGTCACTTAAATACTGTCTGACACGTTATTACTTGGGGTGGGGGGGGGGGGGGCTTTGTTCTGACTTAGGCAATGAACTGTCTAGGAGTTGGGAGGTTTTAGTTAAAAGCATTTATTAAATAAAACAAAAATTAAGTGACATGTATTATGACAAAAAAAAAAATGGGATTTCGAATCATATTTTGATGAAGAGTTTTTTCTTTTTAATAGCGACTGAGCATTAAAGCTAGATAAAGGAAGATTCAACAAACATAATTAAATTCAAAGTTATTCTTCTCCTTCCCCTTCCTTTTCTTCTTCTTCTTCTTCTTCTTCATCTTCTTCCTCCTTTTCTTCTTCTTCCTCTTCTTCTTCTTCTTCTTCTTCTTCTTCTTTCTTTCCCTCTTCTTCCTTTTCTTCTTCTTCTTCTTCTTCTTCTTCTTCCTCTTCTTCTTCTTCTTCTTCTTCATCCTCTTCTTCTTCTTCTTCTTCTTCTTCCTCTTCTTCTTTCTTCTTCTTCTTCTTCTTCTTCTTCTTTCTTTCCCTCTTCTTCTTCTTCTTCTTCTTCATCCTCTTCTTCTTCTTCATCCTCTTCTTCTTCTTCTTCTTCCCTCTTCTTCTTCTTCTTCTTCTTCTTCTTCTTCTTCTTCTTCTTCTTCTTCTTCTTCTTCTTCTTCTTCTTCTTCTTCTTCTTCTTCTTCTTCTTCTTCTTCTTCTTCTTCTTCTTCTTCTTCTTCTTCTTCTTCTTCTTCTTCTTCTTCTTCTTTTTCTTCTTCTTCTTCTTCTTCTTCTTCTTTTTCTTCTTCTTCTTCTTCTTCTTCCTCTTCCTCTTCTTCTTCTTCCTCTTCTTCTTCTTCTTCCTCTTCTCCTTCGTCTTCCTTTTCTTCTTCTTTTTCTTCTTCTTCTTCTTCCTCGTCTTCTCCTTCCTCTTCCCTTCCCTCTTCTTCCTTTTCTTTTTCTTCTTCTTCTTCCTCTTTTTCTTCTTTTTCTTCTTCTGCTTCTTCTTCTTCTTCTTCTTCTTCTTCTTCTTCTTCTTCTTCTCCTCCTTCTTCTTCTGGTTTAACAATTGGATTTCCCAAACTTATTTGACGAACAATATACTGCTAAAAATAATAACAGCCTATAACGTCACTTATTATTTTACAAGTGGTTTTATTTATTAACGATTTTAAGTCTTTTTTCATAGAACTTTAGTAACAGAAACAACCTAATTTTATTTGTTCCTAAATAGGTGCTTTTTCGCGACTTGCTGAAATTTTTCGTGGCCTGAATTTGGGTCGCGACCCACAGTTTGGGAAGCCCTGAAGTGTGAATTGACTTCAATCGGTGTCCTTTTCAAATGGCGATATGTTGAAAAATATAGTGGCTCAACTCTGAATTTGAGTTCGCCGACAAGATTGAAGTATGATAATGGTTTGTTTCTCATGGATGGGTCCGGGTGAGATCATCGTAGTTTGGTTTCACACAAGCGGTGCTAGGAATATTTTTTCCTTTACTCTGTTCATTCATTTCAAGAAGCGCTCAGATATTCGCTTGCGCGTCGGAGTTTGTCAACAAACTTTCGCCGACAAGTTGAAAGCATGTGAAAATATTGGGGGGGGGGGGCTTGTTTTTTCATGAACCATCAGCCGGTGTAGAGCCCACAAATGTAAAAATCTACCACAAATGTCAAACCATTCCACCCACAAATGTCAAATAACTGCAAATGTCATAACATGTCAACAACAAATGTAAAAATAACCACAAATGTAAAAACAATCGCTCACAAATGAAAAAATCTGTTTAACCACAAATGTAGTAAAATTTCACCTACAAATGCGGAAATTTCCATTTTCACCTCAAATGTCATAACATGTCAACTGCAAATGTAAAACTTTTCCTAAGCACTTAAATCCTTAAAATATTGAAAGACCCTAATTAATAATAATAACTGCTATAGTAGAGCAGCTAAAGTATCAAGTTGCGCATTTTAGTAGAGCAGCTAAGGCCCAAGCTGTGCACTTAATTACCATAGTACGGTAATACAAACGCAGTAATGCATCTAATAAAGTAAATGTAACTTATAAACGACATGTTTCGACGTGTCCCACGTCATCATCAGGTAATAACGCTTATGCTACTAACGGTTTAAATACTACCGGTCAGACGTAAGACGAAACAAGCAAATATTAAGGTAAGTTATGTATATAGAAGTCAGGAATGCTATAGTAAGTCATGTATATAGGAATTAAAATGAATGATATTGTAATGAGTTGTTGTTTGTTAAGTGACGGATTTCCCCAAGCAATGTAAAGGGCTTCTTTTATTTTAAGTTGATAAGTGTTGTAGGCGGAGAATAGTAGGAGGATCCAAAATGATGGGCGATAGTTTTCTGTTCAGGTAGTTATGTATTGTTTTATTAATTAATGAGATCGGATAACAATTTCTTTGAAAAATGAGTACAAGTTTTCTTAAATCGTTATGAAATCCCAACCATGTGTTGTTAATTTTGAATGTACGGTCTATTAGAGTGCGTAGAAGTCCCAGTTTATATGTATGTGACGTTGTTATCCGATCTCATTAATTAAGAAAACAATACATAACTACCTGAACAGAAAACTATCGCCCATCACTTTGGATCCTCCTAAAACGCAAACACAACCTTCTTATTTTAAGTTAAAAAAATTAACGTTATGGTCAAAAATTATTGCTCTAACATTAATGTCAGACTTGCTTTCAAGTCATATAAATTATCAATTTTTTTAAACTTAAAAGACTATGTCCCAACTAATCTCCGAGCCCGAGTTGTCTACAAATTTACTTGCGCGGGGTGTAACTCCGTGTATATTGGCGAGACCAATAGACACGTAGAAACACGGATTAAGGAGCATTTAGTTCGGGACAAGTCATCACACATATTTCAACATCTTCAAAACTCTGCTAAATGTCAAAACACATCTAATTCAGACTGTTTTAATATTCTTGACTCCGCCCACAACACTTATCAACTTAAAATAAAAGAAGCCCTTTACATTGCTTGGGGAAATCCGTCACTTAACAAACAAACAACTCATTAAAATATCACTCTCTCATTCTAATTCATTCTAATTCCTATATACATGACTTACTATAGCATTCCTGACCTCTATAAACATGACTTACCTTAATATTTGCTTGCTTCGTCTTACATCTGACCGGTAGTAGGCCTATTTAAACCGTTAGTAGCATAAGCGTTATTAATTACCATAGTATAAACTTGGCACAAGATATCTTTGATATGTGCAGATTAAAATAAAAAGTTGTTTGCCAAGAGTTTCCGACGCCTACTATGGCCGCCAATTTGAATTATAAGGCCCATAGGGATCCATATATCTTGGCAACGGATAATCGTAGAGATTTAATTTTGGTCTAATGTTTCTATTTGCACTAATGCAATGTTTTGTCCAAAAGTGACCGGAAATGACTTTATAGAATTTGACCTACAAAACTTGCAGTATAGGCCTAACCCTATCTCTATAACCGTTAATCATAGAGACCTAATTTTGGCCTCAAATTGTTCAGACCATGCATGTTTCTATTTGCACTAATGTAACTTTTTGACCAAAAGTGACAGGAAAGGATGCTTCTGACCTTTGACCCTAGGTACGCCGTAGTTATCTCAGTAACCGTTGGTCATAGAGACCTAATTTTGGCCTCAAATTGTTTCAGAATATCCATGTTGCTATTTAAACAACTGCAACGTTT